CAACACTGCACAAAACCAGTATCCAGCGAGTGGTTTTCATCCATCCAACCCTTTCTACTGTGCTGACCCACAGAGAAGTTCCTACCCTAGCCAAGGCTGTCCAGCTGAGCAGAGCGGTGGGCCGTCGGGCCAACCACACGCCCAGCACCAGCATCATCATTATTCTGGTCCGCACTGTCAAGGGGTGAGATGATGTTACACCTGAAATGCACAAATCAAATCAGTTTGCTATCTAATTCTGAACAGTGAAACAGATTAGTAAATGGGTTTAAAGCAGATTTGTGAGAAAAATACAGGATAAAAACAAGGTGCATAATCCTAACTTTAATTCAGAGTTTTTAACAGCCTGAGGCAAGCTCCGTAGCGTTGTGGTGGATTTGCTTTTAAAGTTTGCCTGAAGGCAGTGGGTGAACGCTTATGGACTGTATGTGAGGAGTCGCTGACAATGCCCAGTCCTGGTCGGGAGCGAGGCTTGCTTCAGTTTCCTCCTTGGAGAAAGCCTCATCCTTAAAGTCATATTGATTTCTATGCAAATGTGTTCATCCGAGCAATACTGAAGAGATGTTTTAAAAAACCAACATGTGTTGGCTGCTCCCTCAGGGTCCTGGATACCCATCTGGACCATACTCCCACTACAGCGAAGCTGGACATGCTGTGCCTCCAAATCCCCCCTATCCCACTGCGCAGCCGCTCCATCCCAGCCCTCAGGGTGATGCTTGGGGGCACACAGGTCCATATGCTCCCTCACAGCAGCAGTGGCACCCAGGGCAGCAGCCTTCACAAAACCATTATGGAAATCATGTCCGTCCAGCACATCCTCCAGCATGGCCAGGAACTGGAACTGGTGCTCCACCGCCCTATCAGCCCAAGGTAAGAATAACTGCAGTCAATTTGTTGATACATTCAGCATCTTGTGTAAACACTCGTACTTATTTTGTCATGTTGCAACTACAAAGTCTCTTTATGTTGCACACTTGAAAATTAATCAGTGTGGTGTTGCGCAGGTTCTTTTATTTTGACAAATTCTGTGGAAACATGAGAGCGACAGTGAGCGCCTCCGCTGACCAGCCGTTGCTGCGCTTAATTGCCGTTGGCTCGCTGAGTCAGGAGTGCTGCTCACCGTGCTCTATGTGCCCACTGGTGGCGAAGTGTTGTCACTGCAGTCCAGTGCATCTCAGGAAGATAAGTGCAGCTGAAGAGCACAGCCAAGATAAGAAAAATGGAAGCAAACAAACAGAAAGGGGGTGGGGGGTGTAATTACTTCTGATGTCCATTCTCTCACATTTAGAAGAAAAGACATTCATGCAGTAGCTCAGCTTATTTATTAAGCAGAAGCTAATTATACTGAGGTTTTCAAGATTTGTTTTAAGACATATCTGAAAATCCTGTATTTGTGTTTAGCTCCCCCTGCTCTGATATAGACCACTATAGGGCAAACTTAAATGTTGCAGATGTTTGAAGGAGGCTTTGACTTTTAAATGGAGAACTGTTCGGTCATTTCTTTTTAATTTTAAATTTGTTTTAAAGGGGCAAGGGGAAATTCCTTGCAATATGGATGAAGCTAAATAAAGGACGACCCTGGACGGAAACCAGTGAGACGAGACAAAACTAGAGTGCAGTGAGGATTCACTTTCTACACATACTCAAAACTACAATTAAATAATTTCAATGATGGAGTATTAATGTGTGAAACAGTGCAAAGTTCAGACTTTCACATCTTTGGCAAGATTTTAAAAAAAAATCAAGCATTCTTCATCTGACTGAGTTTAAACTATGCTTGCAGAGAAAAATTGGCAAAAATGTTGTTCCTAGATGTGCAAAGCTTGTAGTTTCATACAGTAGTAGCAGATATGCCTGAAGGGATAGACTCTCCTGACTGCCGTGTCGGCCCCTCTCTTTTTTCACATAATGGTATGATCCCTTATGCTCACATGTGATTGGCCAGAAGGCTGTCATACTACTGATCAAACCAAATCTCCGTTGTGAGTAGAGCAGAGGCACTGACACTGAGAGCTGAGCACCAAAAGGCTAACAACAAAACAAAACTGGGCGCGCTCGCATTCTCTCTCTTCCCCCTCAGCTGGTTTGTCTCCTTCCATTTCTCATGTGGTGTGGTTGTTGTGCTGCTATGTTTGTAGCTCAACGACCCCTCCCATACATTGACGAAGGTCGTTCATATCAAAGAGTCGTCGCATTAGACCCTATGCGTTCGCGACCGAAAATATCCAAGATGGCGTCGCGGCAGAAGTGCTATGGTTGCATTACACACTAAAAAAGAACGATGCTAGGGCCAATCACCATAAAATGCATCAAACTGTTGGCCAGAAAGCATACAGCTGATTTGTACGAATGTAAAGTGTTTGATACGTTGCTTAGCGACGGCGGTGACTCTTGAGGGGGGAGCTTCGACGACATCGTCGTCTGTCATAAATGTCCCAGGTAACGTTATTCTCCTTCACGCCCTGGACATTGTATTAATATTAGCGCCATACTGTACTTATAATTTTCATGTCATATCAGCATTTATAGTCGTATTTTATAAAATGGAATATGGGCTCCGATGAGACTCGCTTGTCAGAAGCACAGTTTGAAAATAACCTGTAATATGGTATTACACATATTTTTCATTTGACCCACCTTTCTGCATTAAAATTTTCTATGGTCTGATGTAATATTCTAATCTCAAATGTCGTGTTTTCATTAGTTGTAAGCAAAAAAGCCTCGTCATTAATATAAAAACTATTTAACATCTGTCTGTATGGAATAAATCTATATAATGTTCACATGTGAGCTGAGTTAATGAAACGTGTGAACTTTTCGCTAATATTTTTAATTTATTTAATATGACTGGTTGTAGTGGTCAACCAGAGTGATTCTCTTGCTCATTTTTAGCTACCTCTTTCATGGAGGTAAAATGGCAAAGACGAAAAGTAAACTATACCTGAGGTGTTTTCCTCCTCTGGCGATGCCTTAAGTTTTGAAATTTGGCTGCACACAACCTGTTGTTCAAAAAGTTGCATTTCATGTTCAAATGTTTATTTGACAGATGGATTCTCTAAGTCAGCTTTAATGTTGTTTGAATCAAATGCAACATGATGCATAATTTGAATTATTTTATTTCCTAACTCAATGAAAGTCAATAAGGGACTTATGCTTGGCTAAATTCTAATAAATTCCCAGCCCTGGGTTTTAGTGTTGATTCAAAGGAACTCAGTGTTTCAGAAGTTTTGCATTTTTATGGTAGTTTGTTCCCGATTAGAGAAGCATAAAGACTGAATGCTGCTTTTCAATTTTCGGTTCTGATTCTGGGGGTGCAGAGTAGAGTAGATCCAGAAAACCTTAGATCTTCTGGTACAACAGAAGATCTTTAATATATTTCGGTACTATGCTGTTCAGCGATTCAGTGAGTAAAATCTATTCTCTGAGCTACAGGGAGCCAGTGGCAGGACTTTAAAACTGGGATGATGTGCTCTCTCTTCCTAGTTTTAGTGAGGAAACGAGCAGCAGCATTCTGGATCAGCTTCATCTGTCTTATTTATCCATCCATCCATTCATTTTCTGAACACCCTTGTCCCTTGTGGGGTCGGGAGGGGTTCTGGTGCCTATCTCCAGCGAACGTTTTGGGCGAGAGGCGGGGTACATCCTGAACAGGTCGCCAGTCTGTCTCCGGGCTTGTCTTATTTATTTTAGTCCCATTTTTTTTTTTCAATGGGCTAAATACAAATTGACACTTTTTGATTTTTCATATTGATATTTGTAAAGAATAAGAAAATTGCGTATAATTAACAATTCAGCATCATTTGATATTGATTTATCACAGAAAATCCCAACAAAATGCGTTAGTTTTTTTTTGTTGTAACATGACAAAATGTGAGAGGAGTGTGAATACTTCTGAATGACACTTAAGATATTACTCTTTGCTCCTTTTTTTAAATATTATTCTTCTAACTGCTGTTGTAAAGACACAAATAAAGCTTAAACACACTGTGTTTGTGACATTGTAGGACCAACAGCACCAGCGAACCCCTCAGGTGGGACCTAAACCCAGGACAGCTCCAGCCCCGAATCCCCCCAACGGAAAGCCCGCTGAAATAAGCTCACCTCCCCAGATTTACAGCAAAGCTGGGCGAAGCGATCCCAGTCCTTCTCAGCCCGAGCCCCAACCAGCAGCCGCTCCGGTCGGACCTCAGCCGCTGAGCGACAACCCCGGGCTCGCCAAGGTCCAGCAGGTCATGGCCCGGGTTCAGCTGCTTCAGGAAGACGTTGACGAGTTCGTCGGGAGAAAAACGGACAAGAGCTACCGGTGCCTGGAGGAACTGCTGACCAAAGAGCTGCTGGAGCTAGACTCTGTGGAGACTCAAGGACAGGAGACTGTCCGACAAGCCCGAAAAGAGGCTGTGCAGAGAATTCAGGCTATTCTAGACCGGCTGGAAAAGAAGGCTTTCTGAACGAAACCTTATTTATCTGCCTGTTATTCGCTTATTATTTTCTTTGCTCAGATCTTCCATGGATAAACGGAGGTGTTTAGTCTCCCTCTGCAGAGCTGTAACAATATTTGCGGACGACGTGTCATTATCATTTAGATGAGGTAACGGACATAGATTCCCCCCCTCCCCACAGGAGTAGACACACCTCTGATTTAAAGTTTAAAAAAATCCTTTAAGGAGTGTTTTGTGCTGGCAGTAAACATAAAACTTGTATATCATAAGTGACTTTCAGCCTCTGTGAGTGACTGAGCTCGCTACCCTCATCTTTTACATCATGCCCTCACCAACATGGCGCTAGCTCCTGCTGTTTGTGTTTATTCTGTCGTGCCACACGTTCAGACCATCCTCAGGATATTCGGTCCGTTTTCAGTCCAACCTTCTCGGGACAACACACACACACTTCCTCGGCTGATTGTTGTAACATTTGCATGGTCATGCTGTTGTCCTCTCTCATGTCGGCTTTGGGATGCACTTAGTTGCTCATAGTCGCCTCCTCATGTCTCTGCAGCAGCTGGTGCAGTGTTTCTGTTATTCTCAGCCTTGCATGCACTGTAGTGTCAGATAAGCACTCGCACAGCCTGTCACTCAGCCCGTATTGTAGCAGATTTAGTGACAACCCCCTGAAGACCGCTGCCCTGGTTCCTCCGGCCACTGAGAGTGGAGACCTAAAATCACACCTACATGTTGAACACCCTGTATCTCTCTGTAGAAGCGAAGGACAATGTCAGCAGTTCCTTTTTTAAAAGTAGAGTTTTCTTCCTCACTTTTTCTACACCTGGGAAAGTAGAATATTACATTTTCAGTAAAGATGTATGCTTAAAGACAGTGTTAAATGCACAAGGATCAAGTTGGAGTTTGTTCACTATTTTGTCTAGGGCAAAGATTCTTGTTTGGACTGCACATGTGCACTACAGGTCTTCATCTCTACACCCCACTCACCCCCCCATCTCAAACATTTTTGTTTTTGTTTGAGAAATGAAGAAGAAAAAGTGCCATATTTGATATGGTGATTTTTATATCTGATCAGAAGGAGAATATTAAAAACAACCAAAAGGTTTGCATGGAAAATCCTTTTTTTGCATTGTGTTTATTTTTGTTAGTTTTGGTTGTGATGCACGTTCCCAACAAAAGATGGGAGTCTTTTCTTGATTATGATTCAGTAAATTTCACTTGTTTTTTTTTCCTTTCTTTTTATGTTCTTCACCGTTTTGTATTGACTTTTATTACAGTTAAACATCTTCTATGAGCTACATTTATTTTTCTCATTCCTGAAAGCAATTATTCGGTCTGATATAAAAGAAAAGAATTGTCCTTCCATCAAGTGGAAACTTGCCCTGGGGCAACACTCTTCTTAGCCAGCTTTCACATCTTTAAATAGACTGCTATTTTAATTCAAAAGCATAACGCAGAGCCCTGAAGGCATGCAGCCTAGATTTAATGCAAGGGTCAAATGTCCTGACAACACTCGAACATACTCATGGTGAGTAAATCAGAGGAGAAGAAGCTCGAGACCAGTGTCACCTGTGGTATTCACTCTGGTGTGTTTGACAGGCTGCTGAGGATTTCTATGGAGTTGTTAATTATCAGTGATATTAAGCTTTTGTGATGTCTTTTTCCCCTCCCCCCCAGTCGGTTCAATTAGTTTATAAACGGAAAAGAAAGGGTCACTTTTCCACATCTGAAGTCCAGCCGTCTTGTGAAAGGAAGAAGCGATGTCCTACTCATCCAAGCTTCCCGCTTCCTGGAATGATGAACGACCACGTCGGAAAGTGGAAATCGATCTGAGCTCGCCTGGTTTGGCAGTGTTTGAGTTGGAAAGACTGCTGTTCACAGGCAAAGCCATCATCAGCCATGCGGATGAAGTGTGGCCGAGGCTTTACATCGGGGACCAGTAAGAATCTCGTCTTTTCCTCTTGTTGGGGGGGAAAATGTTGTTCGCTTGCTTTGAGCTCAGTTTGAATCAAGCGTGCGTGTGAAACGGAAACGGCTCGTAAATCAGTTTTTAAAAAAACGAAAAGGGTAACATAAGAGTTGTCGAGCTGCCTTTCCCGCTGGATACTTACACCGACTCCAGCTGCGGCATGTGAGAGTTTCCGCTGATACCAGGCCACGAAGGCATACCGCAGCTCCAGGCTATTTTCCTTATGCGTGCCTTAGATGGTCTACATTTCAGTCAGTCACTATGTTGCATGCTTAATTCATGTTTCATTGAAAATAACTTTAAAAATACTTTCCATGTTCTTTTTGGTGGAAGGTCATGTCAGAAAACTACTTCTGTTTTGAATTTATTAGATTTTTTTTTTTTTTTTTGGTTTGCTCTCCATTTCATGCAAAATGATTCTCTAATACCTCTACCATCTTTCCACATATACAGACTAAAAGTTTTATCCAAGCAAAATGGCTCTAAATCAGATTAAATCCAGAGCATCTTTAAATAAGTTACAGATTCTCAGTTAGGTCTTTACTTTGACTAGGCCATTCGAACACCTGAATACGGTGTGATCTAAGCCCGTCCATTATATCTCTGTCTGTATGTTTAGGAGTTTTTTGCATCCTGCTGGAAGTTGAGCGTTCACTCAGTCTCAACTCTTCTGCTGCCTCCAACAGGTTTTAGCCCCAGTACTGACCTGGATTTAGCTCCGTCTACTAGTATTCCCACAGCATAATGCTGCCACCATCACCATCGATTGCCAAGAAGAAAGTGATTTGTAATGTTTAGTTTTCCGTTTCTTCTGGCTGGGTTCCTTTCAGAATCACTGTTATTGGGCATAATTGTGTGCATAAACGCATAATTTGAATTTGATGGTTGTTGTTGAGTACAAGAGAGGCAGGAAATCATAAAGAAATCCGCCTTCTTGAAATTTTTTTATTTTTTTAACTTGTCTGTTTGAAATTGAAATAATAAAAAAAAATCATGGGGGTATATTTGGTTTGTTGTCCTTAAATTTAATATGTTGGGTTTTTTTTTTTTTTTTTTTTTTTCAGACACGGCGCAGAAAACTTTGCGGATCTGTCCAGGCATCGCTTCACTCATGTCCTGAATGCAGCTCACAGTAAAAGAAAGGGACAACCAACCGCGTACGAGCAAATGAAGATCACCTACATGGGCATCGAGGCACACGACTCCTGCAACTATGACATGAGCATCAACTTTCAGGAGGCAGCAGACTTCATCCACAGAGGACTAAACACAGGAGGTAAAACGGCAACCACTTGCAAACCATTACCGCCACTTTCAGAAGAAGTTGACTGAATTTCACATCTTTCTTTGATTCTCAGGGAAAGTTCTGGTGCATTGTCACGTGGGAGTCAGTCGCTCTGCCACCCTGGTGCTGGCTTACCTGATGCTGAAGCAGAAGCTCTCTCTTGTGGAGGCTATTTGTGCTGTGAAAGATAATCGGGGTGTGATCCCAAACAGAGGTTTCCTCCGACAGCTCATTAAACTGGACGGGCAGCTCTTTGGCAAACATCATTAAACCACCAGAGACCAAGATCTCAAGAACGTTCAAGCTCCAGCATCTGAAATCAGTTCATTTCTTCTGGTCTGGACTTGATGTGTGCAAGGACGAGATGCTAAAAACTTTAGTTTTTTTCATTGTCTATGGTTTGACGTCTTCGAATTTAAAAAAATATTTATTTTTTGACTTGAAGACATCCAAAATGCTCTAAAATCCCAATGTGAAAACTCATGAAGGCTCCCTTTTAGGACTACCATTATAAAGGTCCGCATGAGCATCTTTTTAAATTTTGGATGCTGCAGAGTCATTATTAGGAGCATTCCAATGTTCTTTCATCTATAAAATCCTTATAAGTCCTCCTTTCCAAGTTTGTATGCCATTTATCAATAACTGATTAAAAATAGAAAATTTGCAAAACAATAAGAACTCAATCCGTTTATAATTTTTTTTGACATATTTTTGTAAATATGAAGAGTTTCCTAACTTTATTTAGGTGGCAAAACAGTGCGGGGCTGGTATAAAAGTTATCACAGTATGTGATATCCAGAGCCAAGATAGTCTTTGTTTATGAGTGACATTACAGCGTCAAACGACAGCCCCTTTCCAGTTTTTTGAGTGGACCTTCCAGTGTAAATTTGAAAGTCTGTAGTGTAGCCCGTGGTGTCGGACAACACAAAAAGTTTGATCCCCCACTTTGTCGGCTTACTTTTGATGTATTGTTTTAGCCCAATCTTGGCTTTAGTGGCTACCATTCTTTCATCCACAGAAAGATTTTTCCGGGGGTGGTACAAAGCCTTACAGGCAACCCTCAAGCTGTCGTACAGGGGGCGCAGTCTGTGCAGTGGGTCATAATCAGGTGTCCCTTTTTTTTGGTCGTTCACTGCATCATCCTCTGGGTTACTCATGTGGACAATGGTATGGATGTTGAGGAAACGATCTCTGGACATTACTTTCCCTGGATATGAAACCTGAAATGCAGTTGTGGTTCTCCAAAAATCCTTCAATTGTGGTCGTTTCATTAGTCCCATGTACAAAGTAAGTCCAATATATGCATACATTTCATTAGCTGTGACATCAGTCCAATGAATTTTTTTTCCAGCAGCTAAATTTTTGGCTGCATTTTTGTTGGTGTTTTCACATAATGTCTTTATGGCAGCCTGGTCAAAAAATAATTTGAATAGCTCTGAAGGTGACTGAATCTCAATATTGGAAAGGGGCGGCTGAACACCTGGTGTCCTCTTTGGACGGAAATGGAGTGGGGGGTGCGGCAAATGATCAGTCTCCTTCTCTGTTTTCCACTTGACTTGAGTGTCCACATGAGTTTCTGACCTTTTGCCTCTCCTTTTACTTGCTGGACCCTCCCGACTTCTTTTTCTTCCTCTACTTGCACCTGCCACCACACCGTTATTGTCCTCTTCATCATCCTCATTCAGATCGTCATCTTTCTTCTCCACGATATTGCCAGTACTGCACACAGACGTAACATTACAGATTAGTTAGATTTTTCAATCACATGTTCTGTTTTATGTAAAAAAATAAATAAATAAATTTTATATATATATATATGAGTGAAAAAGAGCCCACTTACATATCATGAAGTTTATCAATCCCTTCGATGAAGTCCTCTTCCTCATCAGTGTCTGCGGTATCAGGGTCTGAAGAATACCTCTCCTCATTTTGGCCATCTTGAGCGGTGACTAGCTCCAAGACTTCGGACGCAGAGTGAAATCTTCTTACTCCGTGTCTTTCCATAATTTATTTTTTCGTGTGTTTGCCTTCAAAAAAATGTTACGAAAAATATCGAACACGTGTTTCCTTGCAAGAGCAGAGCCAAATCTGTAACATAAAGACACACAGTCAATATTTGATCAGAAGGTGAACGCGTTAGCTGATCTAGTCTCTAAATATTTTCTGGAATACAATTTATACTATTTGTATCTATTTTAGAAATGGATACAAGTAGTATGTATTTCTAAAATAGGTTAAAAAAATCTTTATATGCCAATATATTATCTTCAAATTAAAGGAAAATTTGTTGTACTTCAAGAGCTGCAAATATTTAACCTTTGTGGCTGAATTAATAAAACCTGGTCTCCAAACAAATTCAATTAATTTGTCCAACATTAATGTTTTTATTCATAAAACCTATACTGAATAATCTTAGTGTGAGAGAGGGAGGTGCTCAGAGAGCAATTTGAGGCAACTTAGGGTAGATGTCTAGTAGATGAGTGATAAGAAAAATTCAAAAGTTTTTTAATGGAATTAAATTCTAGTAGTTTTATTTTTTTTTTAACGGTACTGGTCGAAATAATTGCAAATATTTATCTACATAGAGTACAAAATGTCATTTTTCAGTGACTATTTCTGTATCACAACCGTTCAACCACTTCATGACAAGCCCCTAAAGCACCTTAAACTTTTATAAAATGATACAAATGTTAGTCATGTTGGAAACTTAACTTGTTCTTGAGCTGGTTAAGTTTTTACATTTAATTAAGAATGTATTAGCACATGATGCTCTCCAAATTAAATCTTGTAAGGACATTTATTTTCGCACTCAAATTGAAGTTATTCCTTGACAATATTGTCACCTGCTGGACGGAATTGCAATTTTGGTTGCAAGAAAGTTTAGTGACAAAATATAAGATGAATACTTTGTTAATAATGCGATTGCAGTACTGACAAGAGCAATGGTACAAATTAGCTTTTTGTTCACGGCCAGCTTCCATCTCCATTTTCCATCGCAAATCATTTATCTTGGTTTGGACTTATGCAGCAAAGAAAATCTGACAAGTGAGCAATGGCAAAATGCAAAGTTACCTTAAATGTTTTGGTTTTTCATCCAGATTTTTGTCTTCTGGTCAAAAATCATACATGTATAAAAGAATCCAGAAATGAGCCTAATCCCTTTGTGAAAACCCCTGGAGGTCTATGATCTACAAAAATCAATTTTTGCAGGACAGTCCAGTTCCAGTCCTCAAGAGCAACACTCCTACAACACAAGCTGCTGAGCGCTCTGCAGAAAACGTCCTATTTATGGGTAGAATTGTAAACCCAAACATCTGATGTTCTGACTAAATAAAATTTCAAAGTGAAGTCTTTTTGCTGTCTTTATGAATGGAGCACTTTGTGCCGCAAATAAAACACATTTCAAAGCATGTACTAATTAAATTTTTACAAAGGACAAACTAAAGATTTTTATTGGCTTCTTTAAAACTTAACTGGATTCAGAGCTATGTGTTATAGATTCCATCTTTTCCTCTGTCCTTTAACCTCCTTTTTAATCTGCTGACACGCCACAGTGTACACAAACATGTTTTTGTATGACTGATGCCAGGCATACATAGACAGATTGAAACTGGTTAGACAAGCTTTGGAGGGTACAGAATGCAGAGAATAAAAAGCTAAACTCACACTACAATCTTTGCCTCATTTGGTTATATCCATAAGGTGAACTAATTGTGGCCCCAGCACTTAATTTACACTCAGGGGTTCTGGTCGGGCCCTGAAACGGACCTGGTGGAGCACAGAGTCAAAAATGAATGAACTCCAACACCAGTTAACTCTGACAGGCCAGTTCAGTCTCCTTCCCCCATAAGAAGGGACGTTTCTGTAGCTGAGGGTCGGCTCAGAAGCTCCTGCTTTCAGGCACTGCCTTTCCCACATTGCAAACAAACCCTCTCATCTACCACTAGTGAACCCATGGGAAGAGGGACCCATGTCTCACCTATGGGTGAAGGTCTGGCCATCACAGTGCCTGACCTCCAGGTTTGGTTCTGGAGTGGGGTCCCAGTGACGTGTCCTGGCAAGAGAACAGTTTCCATGGATGTAACTCGTAAGGGGTCTTTAGGCTCCTCTGTCCGTTTACCTAGGACCAGTTTGTCATGGGTGACTCTACCAGGGACATGAAGCCCTTCACAACATGGCTGCTGATCAGAGACTTAATCCCTCCACCACAATAAGAGAATAAGTGGGTGCCACATGGAGGGACTGTGAGATACATCCTGAGATGTTGTTGTGCTTGTGAGGCTAACGATTTATTTTCTTTTCATAGCAAAATCTCTTCCTGCTTTGTTGTGATTGATCATCTACACTGATTTTACACATCCAGATTGGCTCTTATCTCTTAAACCACTTCATTAGTGGACCAGGCATTTAATGGACAGAGGTTGTGGTTATCGTAGAGGTTGTCTTGGATTTGGGTCCTGGTCTCGACCTGTTTGAGTATCTATCCCTATCCTTCCTCTTTCATGACAAGTTGCTGTTGAGTAAGGGGCCTAAAAAACGCTCAAATATTGGATGTGATTTGTAGTATGGGGCCCAGCAGATATACCCCAGTTTTTTAATATCATTGAAAGACAACCAAGCTGTGATTCAAATATAGCTGAGACTTCCTCTGACAACTCATCATACTAAACAGGAAGCTCTTCTGAAATCATAAAACTATGACAATAAAGAAAGAACAAAAGTATCAAGAACAAGCTCAACTATCACAAAACCAGTTCATTTCCTGACTTTGGAGTTACGTAGAAAGAATCTTCCTCCTATCCTCCAGCTTTAAGATGTACGCGTTCCAACAAACCTAAATTAATGCTTGAATTTTCAAATTAGCAGTCTTCCAGCTTTGCAAAGGTCTGGTCACAAGCCATTAAAAATACTCAGGTGTTGGTGAAGGTATTCATTCAGATGTTTCACTTTGGTAGCCCTTGAGGGCTGGAGTTGGGTATCTCAGGTGTAAAGTAACAAAACTAAGTAGTTCCTGGCAAAACTACATCAGTTTTAGTGAAGGTGCCTTTCCCTTACTGACTGCAAAACAGAGTATCAGTAAAACAGAGAAAAGTGGTTGATTATTAAATGTTCATCAGCTTTGAGCAATGAGGGCGGCATTCAATAAAGAGAGATTTTTGCACACGCTCTGTAGCTAATGAGCATGCTCAGAAAAGAGAATGTAGCCATTTTGACATTGCTGAACTACAGCCCAGCTTTCTGCGGGGAAACAAGTCCAGCTGTTATTATATCTGTTATTCAGAGCTAAAATTTGTAAGTATTGGTTTAATGATTGTGTGGTATGAAAAAAGATGAATGCTGTTTAATTTTGTTTTTTGTTTCCAAGTTAAATGTGTAAAACTTTCAGGCTGTATATGTCATAAAGAAAAAAATTCTGAATTGTGAATTTAAAAAAAAAATGACCCGTTGCTTAGATTTTTGTGTCACTTCTTTACAAGCTCAGTTTCCTATAATCAGTATTCGTTGATTGGTGCAGTGCATGTGAGAGACGTCATTACTCCTAAATGGCATGTATGCTGACCTCTGTCCATAAAATGAACAGCTGTGGTGAGAGTCTTCAGTCAAACAACAATTTAGCAAAGAACCTGCTTGAAAGTTCATCTAGCTATTTTTTTCCATTTAACTTGACCTGTTTGAAACCTTTATGTAGTTGGGACATGTAGACCCCACCATCTTTAAATCGGATGTCTATGATTAGACAAAAGGAGGACATTGAAGCCTCCCGTAGGTGAAGAAACAAAATGGAAACTTGGCCTCATTTACTGGCAAATATCATGTAAACTCGAATAACTGCAGTTTTGACCATCTGTTTCAGATCACCACGATGCCCACAACTGTGGTTCTCTGGCTTTTCTTGTCAGTGGTCTGTGCAGCAAGAGGCCATCAACCCATAGAGCAAGCTAAACAAGCCACAGACCTCTCTGCAGACAGCAGTGATGACAAACTCTTATTGGTGACCTCAGCAAACAAAGGGTTTGCCTTCAATCTCTACAGGAAGTTGGTAGCTCATGCTTCCTCTAAAGGCCAAAACATCTTCTTCTCCCCAGTTAGTGTCTCTGCCGCCTTGGCTGCTCTGTCTGTGGGGGCTCGAGGAGAGACCCATCAGCAGCTGTTTCGTACTCTGGGCTTCAACAGCTCCCAGCTAACTCAGTCGGATATAAATAATGCGTTTCTGAAAATCATTGGAAGTATGGCGTCTAAGATCAGCCAAGGCACCGCTGTGTTTGTTGATAGCCTGTTCACACCAAAGCCTGACTTCCTGCATGTCCTGAAGCAGTGGTATTTTACTGAGGGGTTCAAGGTTGACTTCAGTAACCCTATAGAGGGCGTCAATACCATCAATCAGTGTGTATCCAGAATGACCAGTGGAAAAATAACTCGCTTAGTAGAAAGCCTGGACCCAAGCACAGTCCTGTATCTCCTGAACTATGTCTATTTCAAAGGTAAATGTCTTTTAGCAGATTCAGAGTTTTCATTTTTGACTTTTGTTCTTTACCCTGCATGTAACCATGTCTGTTCAAACAGGAATCTGGGCAACTCCATTTGATCCAAAGCTGACTACGCTAGATTTGTTCAGAGTGACGGAAACCGTTGAGGTCTAATGACTAGCACACAGAGCAGCTGAAAGATGCACTCTTCAGTCTCGAGTTGACCAACTAAACGTCTCTTTCAGGTTCCAGTCCCAATGATGAGGATGAAAGCTGATGTGGACACTTATTATGACAAGGCCATTGCTACATCAATCCTCCATCTGCCCTTCAACAACTCTTACTCCATGCTGCTGCTGCTACCTGACACCATGGAGACACTGGAGAGCAAGATCAGTCCTGCACACATCACCAGGTGGTTGAAACAGCTGAAACAAAGGTTGGGACAAGTTTTGTTGTTGCACCCATTTGCTTGTGCACTCAGCTCTGTGGTTAATTGCACCCCTTTTTTTCTTTTTCTTTTTTATTTAGGAAGTACAAGATCTCTGTTCCCATGTTCTACATGAATACCTCCTACAAGCTGAATGATGTGCTGAATGAAATGGGAATGGCAGACATGTTTGAGAATCATACAAACCTCAGCGGCATTACAGATGGACAGAAACCGGTTGTGTCTGAGGTAAGTAATGGGAACAGAAGAAAACATTCTTCCCTGTCAACTGTTTCTGACTTTTTTTATTGTTTTTTTTTTTTGTGTTATTAGGTTATACATCAAGCAACGCTGGATGTTGATGAGACTGGGGCTACTGCTGCCACTGGTGTTGGCATCTCTCTTTTCTCTCTCATTGCCCCGGAATTGAAGTTTAATCGTCCTTTTATAGTGATGATCACTGAGGTGTCTGCAGAAAACATACTTTTTATGGGCAAGATTGTAAATCCAAACATCTAAGTTGTGAATAAAAAGAGGTAGTTTTTCTAGTGTCTCCTATGGCTGTATGGAACATTTTGAGCTCCAAATGAAGGGGGGTGGTGGGGGACTTAAAATGAACTTCAAAGCAAGCAGTGGTCCAAACTGGTTTTACAGACTTGTAAAACCAATTTGGACCACTGCTTGCTTTGAAGTGGTGATTTTATTTTCCTCTACTAAAGGATTTGCGTCTGGGGTTCAAGGTTTCTAAGTGTAAAACTGACACTAGTTTTGGAAATCCATCATTTCGACAAATTTGGACTAGGTTTAAATCTAAAATTCTGCAGTTTAAAGGGTCCCAAAAATATTATTTTCCACAGAAATTAACTGCTCCCAGTCAACCAATCGGAGCCAAGGGGAGGGTCTTGGCGCACTCAATCAAGCTTGTATACGTGCAAGTTTGCTTCCAAATTCTGTTTTCAGCAGCAGAACTTTGGGAAAAGTTGAAATGTGTTCAAAATAAAACTTCACCTATGCTCATAGGATGACATTAAACAAGCAGAATATAACTTTAATAAAAAAAAAGAGTATGTTTACCCCTCTCTAAGATGGGACATCAGGTCTCAAGCTTGGTGTATATTTTCTTGTAAAACAATGAGCCTGTTCTATACGAAGTGCAAGGATTGATGGTAAACTGTTTTAACTACAAATATACTCAGGTTTTTGGTTGACGGCTGCATTTTTGAGGGGTTTTTTTATTTTATTTTTTTTTTAGGCTTTGTAAAACCCGAGGCCATGATTGGTCAGTGACTGACTCACTTCTACAGTTCATGTAGAACAAAAGTCTGGACAGAATAAACAATATCAAAGTTCACCCACTCATTGATATAAATAGGCTGTGTCTTCATCCAGCCTGTAGTAGGTTGGACAAACTGAACAGCCAGTAAAGGGTAAGTGCTTCAGTTTTTTACTGAAAAGCTAATCTTAAAAGGTATGTTTGTCCAGAACACTAGAGGATTTTTGTAATGTGCTATTCCTTTTAAAATCCAGATTTACAAAGAAATTGCAGGATACTGCCACATTTGTGTAGTCATCAGTGTCTTGAATGTGTTATATTAAAATATTGGCATTTAACCAGATCTGGCATACAAAACATTAAAATCACTTTAATCAAGGAAACTATCTGTATGACATAATGCAGATAAGCTTCAGAAATCATGAAACTCCAACCAGTATAACTAAATGAGTAGGTTTAGAGATTTCACTTTGCTTATGTGCAATAGCAAATATTGTGTAACCCAAAAATAAACATCACTTTTGACCCTTTGTTTCAGTTCACCATGTTGTCTGCACCAGTTGTCCTTTGGATCTTATCGGCATTGGTTTGCGTAGGAAGAAGCCATCATCACATAGGGCATGGAGAGAAAGCCCAAGATACTGCTGCAGACGATGCCAACAACAAAATCTCACTGGTGACTTCAGCAAACAAAGAGTTTGCCTTCCGTCTCTACAGGAAGTTAGCAGGGGATGCTTTCTCCCAAGGCAAAAACATCTTCTTCTCCCCACTTAGTGTCTCTACTGCCTTGGCTGCTCTGTCTGTGGGGGCACAAGGTGAGACCCATCAGCAGCTGTTTCGTGGTCTGGGCTTCAACGGCTCCCAGCTTGCTCAGACAGATGTAAACCAGGCCTTTCGTACGTTCTTTGCAAACACCTCTCAGGACATTAGGCAAGGCACCGCTATATTTGTTGGCAGCATCTTCAAGCCAAAGCCTGAGTTCCTAGATGCTCTGAAGCAGTCCTTTTCAGCTGAGGGTTTCAGTGTTGACTTCACCAAAACTACAGAGAGTGCTGATACCATCAATCAGTATGTCTCTGATAAGACTAATGGAAAGATAAACAAGCTGGTTGAAAGCCTGGATCCAGACACGGTCATGTATCTTCTCAGCTACATCTACTTCAAGGGTAAAAGTTCTCTTCTTTCTCTTTCATTGTGGAGAATTTTAATTGGTGGAGTTGTAATTTATAAGATATCTGCTTTCTGCTCAAACAGGAAAATGGGAAACTCCCTTTGATCCTCGAGATACCAAGCAGGATGTGTTCAGAGTGGAAGAAAACACTGAGGTTCAAAGTCATACAATCAAGCATGCAGAGCAGATCTGAGTCATCTTGAGTTCAATTTACAACTAAGAAACTCAAACTTTTATTTTCCAGGTTCAAGTTCAGATGATGGAAATGGAAAAAGATGTTAATATTTATAGTGACAAGGCTATCAACACAACGGTTCTTCATCTGCCTTTCAACAACTCCTACTCCATGCTGCTGCTGTTACCGGAAAATATGACAATGCTGGAGAACAATATCAGCCCTGCACATGTCGCCAGATGGTTGAAGTGGCTAACGACAAAGTAAAGAGATGCTACATGGGGTTTCACTTTGATTTCTGTCAACTCTCGGCAGATGAGTCCTTTAAAACTGTTCTTCTTTCAGGACGTACATCATCTATGTTCCCAAGTTCTCCATCAAGACCTCCTATAATCTGAAGGACGTGCTGACTGAAATGGGAATGGCAGACATGTTTGGGGATCGTGCAGACCTCGGCGGCATTACAGAGGAACAGAAACTGGCTGTGTCTGAGGTAAGACAGTGGTGCATACGAAAACATTTCCTTGCTTATGCTGTTGACATTTGACCCACTCTGCTTTGATTGTGCTGTAAAGGTTGTGCACCAAGCCACGCTGGACGTAGATGAGACCGGAGCCACAGCTGCGGCAGCGACCGGTATAGGCTTTATACCTCTGTCTTTCCACTACGTCCCAGAGCTGAAGTTCAACCGTCCTTTCATGGTGGTCATCACTGATCGAACTACAGAAAACATGCTTTTTATGGGCAAGATTGTCAACCCAAACATCTGAGAGAAGACTTTTTCTTTAAGCACAGTTTTGTCAGTACTGAATACAAAGAAAAGACTTTCTGTGGTGTCTTGTTCTCATTGCATACACAAGTTATATGTAATAAGACTCCCATTTGTATTTGAAGTTCCTTAAATAAAAAAGCAATGCAAGACAAAGTTGAACAATATCTGATTTCTGAGAATTTAAATAAGAATAACCAGGAAATCCAAATAATTGACCGCTTTCAATAAAATGGTCACAAAAGTGTATGTTTACCTGGATTTGCACACAAAACATTTTTCAAACAATGTAAATGTTAAAATTAGAGTATTTTGAAGGACTTAACATCCATTCAAGTTTCAATTCCCCAAACAAAACTCCTTGCCATTGCTTTCCTGAATCTTTAAAATGTGTGTACTCGCAAAACATTTTTCAAACAATGCAAATGTTAAAATTAGTTATAGAGTATTTTGAAGGACTTAACATCCAGTCAAGTTTCAATTCCCCAAACAAAACTCCTTTCCATTGCTTTCCTTAATCTTTAAAATGTGTGTACTCCCAGTTGGCTTTATTTAAAAGTTTACATAGTGAGGCCGTGTTCATAAAAAAATAAAAGGATGTAATGTACAGGAAAAATATTGCTGATCTTATTACTGCCACTTTATGTGGAAAGCCCTTTATTGGTAAATTCCAGCTTGTTCTTTCCATTTTAGTGTGATGGAATAAACAGTGCTCTTTGAGATATTGGGATAGTTTTATGATGTAACCCAGCAACTTCTTGACAACAATTTGCCCATTTATATTGCAATGAACTTAGAAATAAGTGAACTTATTTTTTACCAGTGAGGTGTCTTAAGACAATTTGGTTGCTCTGGGTTTTATTATAATAGCTGTCTCTATGCTCATAAGACAAAAAGAAAACTGCGTATCATTCTTCTTTAACAATATAGTTATATTGTATCGTGTGTTGGTCTGTCCCATAGTGCCCATTGCAATACGTTGAAGTTTTTGGTTGGAACATGACAAAATGTGGAATGAATGTCGTAGCAAAGCTTTTTAAATTCAGTTACCAGCTGCAGTTCCGGCATCTGACTGTAGGTGGCGGAAGCATGCCATGTAGACGTTGATTTACAGAATCACACGAAGTAGAAAGTAGTCGCGCAGTGATTGGATGGCCGCCGAACTGTTTCAAACATGGCGGAACAACGGGCAGCAGACCCGCACAGTGGAGCATATTATCAGAAAGAAAGAAGAAAATACAGCGCGGAGGAGGAGGCCAAACTGGAAAGGCAACATTTCTGGAGAATAATAGATGCTTTTAGGTCTTACAGGTACAATAGATATATTTCACAATGTAAAAGGCGAGACAGGAAGCTGCCATTTGTGCCGATATATCGTAATAATGTTGATGTTTTGCTAACAAGAGAACGACAAAGGAACCACACAGCAACCTTTCTACAACACATTGCTTTAGTTTAGTTTATGAACATTTTGTCGTGTTTTTGGGTTTTCCCGCACCAGGTTCCATGTCCATGAGCAGGTCAAGCGGGCTGAGCGTCAGTTTCGGAGTCTGTCACAAAGGCACCAAAGGGTGCTGCCAGGTGTTTTATCCAACCTGGCCCGGGTTAGGCAGTGCGCCGAACACAACCAAGAGATTCTGGACGCCGTCGTTCACAATAGCCTTCACATGTTTGAGAACGTGGAGTATGGAGAGAGGGTAAGTCCCAAATTTAGGGTTTGCAATGTTTCAGCGGAACTCGGAGTGACACCTTGCCCACCATTAAAAAGTGGGGTGGGCGAATTTAGAGAACAGCATAGAACAGATACACTGATGACCGCTCCACAAACAGCCAAAAGATTTTATTATACATACATTTTTTGTAGCTTACATGTCGGGTAGGTTTCGTATAATAACAAGTGTACAACACTTGTAATTGTTAATGTTTAAATTAATTAATGATTAACAATTTTCTCTTTGATTACTTGACTTGTGTAGATTATGTAATTGTGGATATTAAGCTCTAAACTATGGTGACCGACAGGCGCAAAAGTGCAGCAAACAGAGAATCGCGAATGCTTTAGCCTCACTCCAGAAGGTTGAGTGTTGGAAAATGTTAACTCTGAATTTGCACAAACACATACTGCTTATCGTCCATATCGAACTCGTCGTATATCCAATATGCTCTTCCCTTAAAATTTGGTATCGTCCTTTTGCCTGTATTTTGTCAGGAGGATCCGAGAAAGGCACGGCCATCCACTACATTTGACATGGACAAACTGAAGTCCACCATAAAGCAGTTTGTCAGAGACTGGAGTGAAGCAGGCCAGGCTGAGAGGGACTCTTGCTACAAACCAATCATTCAAGAGATCCAGAGGCTCTTCCCAAGTGACCAATAGTAGGAATTTTATCTGCTCACTTTTACATCTACATGCATGTGATTTCAGCAAATGAGCTCTACTGTAAGATGGTTTTAACAGACCATATTTTGAACAAACATGTCAGTGTTTTCTATGTGATGTGTGCTTTTTGTGCATTTTATTATATCAGTGATGTGTCTAAGGTGAGCGTGCTGATTCCCGGTGCTGGGCTTGGTCGACTTGCCTGGGAGATTGCTCGGCTGGGATACTCATGCCAGGGCAACGAATGGAGCTTCTTCATGCTTTTCTCCTCAAACTTTGTTCTCAACAGGTAACACATTGAATGCATCCACTTAAGTTCATTTAAATAAAAGTTAAGTAAGTGATTTTATCGTAACTCCTTTTTTTCCTTGCTCAGCTAAGTCTTAAATTTAAATAACTTTGACCTTTTAAAAGTTCTGAAAAAAATTGTATCATTTAACTTGGTGAAACGCTGATTACTGCTATATCCTCGTTTTACTTACGAGTTTGAACGTGTCTGCTCAGATGTGAGGAGGAGAATGCTCTGACCCTGTATCCCTGGATCCACCAGTTCAGCAACAACAAGAAGTCTTCCGACCAAACACGGCCAATCAGATTCCCCGACGTTAACCCCCAGAGTCTGCCGCTAAACACCGACTTCTCCATGGTAGCGGGGGACTTTGTGGAGGTTTACAGTGAATTGGGTATGCTAAAGCTGACGTGGACTCCGTCAGATTTGTTGTCAAATGTTAAAATCAATTTGGTTGGTTAGAACCTTATTCCAGTACAAGATGTAGTTCAGCTGACTCAGTTAAAAGTGTTTTTTTTTTTTTTTTGCAATTTAGTAAAAAATAAGTAAATATGTGTCTAAGTGGTACTTTACATTACCTTGTGACATCATGTGTTCCTCTCAGAGTGCTGGAACTGTGTGGCTACCTGCTTCTTTATTGACACCGCTAATAATGTCTTGGAATATGTGGACACAATCTGGAAGATTCTTAAGCCTGGAGGCGTATGGATCAATCTCGGTGAGTCTGCCTTCTTAAAAGAAAACTTAGCTGTACGAGAGACATTCAAAAACGCTAGATTTTACATTTAATAAGCACATTTCTGACATAATTTGAATGAGCAACTGTTCATCTTACACATGATCTTATCAGTATTTCAGATCATTGTGGAAAAATGATCTGAAACACTGATACATAATACATATACAAAAAAAAAACAGCCAAGTAAGAGATTCATTGTTATCTCTGAGCCACTGTTTTTATTCTGTACATGACAATAAACCTCTTGAATCTTGCTTGGAAAATTTTCAGGATCGACTAAAGAGGACTATAGTTTGCAACAGAAACATATCAAGTGTGTCGTTTTAAAACAATAAGGTTGTTCAGAAACAGTAGACCAACTTTTGGAGCCTACACTAGTGTTCTGTCATATCTCTCTGTTTTTGGTTTCTGTGTTAAAGCTTTTAAGAGCTTTTTAACTTAAGACTCTGTCATTTTCATATATTTTTAAGGTCCGCTGCTTTATCACTTTGAAAATATAGCCAACGAGCTCTCTATTGAACTTAGCTATGAAGACATCAGGACAGCAATGCTAAAATATGGCTTCATCTTTGAGGTAAATTTGCATTATATAATTGTTATTGCATTTTGTTTGCATTGAAAACAATCATTGTGGTAGAAAAGCAGTTTTATTTCTGTCACAGGTGGAGAAGGAGTCAATGCAGACTACCTACACTGAGAACGAGTGCTCTATGCTGAGATACGTTTACGACTGCGTCTTCTTTGTTGCTCGAAAACCTACACTGCATTTTAACGGTCAAGAAGAAGAAGATTTACAACAAAATTGTCCACCTGCTGCTAAGTCGTCCAGGCGAGAGGGCAGCAACAGGCTAACGTGACAAAAAATTCCTGCAGAAGCTCAACCACCTAGACACAAGCAATGTGGACATGTTTTCATTTTCTCCCTAAATACGCCTTTTTAAATTGCCTCTCTTCAAAGGTGCTTTCAACATTGAGGTTTTTTGGTGAACTCGTGCATCTGAATACAGCTGAACATTTGGATTGTGCTAAGCAGGCATGGGCCATGAGACCTTAATAGAATGATAGATTGAGTGAAAGAAACCTTGTTTTTAAATAATCGTAATGAACCAAAACCTCAAAACAAAAAAACGCAGCTCACTATCTAATTTATTTTAAACAGCTAAATGTGTGTGTCTTGTAATAGTTGGAGAAGTCTAGTGGCCTCCTTTCAGCCAGCTGACCTGCAGTGGGGAGAGCGAGAGAGCTAAACGGTAAAATGACTGACAATTTTAGGAGTTTTTGAAACCAGCTTTTTAAAACCTTGATACTGGTAACTGCGTCGTGGTATCAAACTTCGTGGGACTGCAATATCAGCTTTAAAAAAATGGGTCATCACAGCATTTTTTGATCATGAAGTTATAAGTAATTGAGTTATCAGACGCAAATAGTGTGTTTGTTTTTATTGATTTGTTGTGAACTCCGAACCAGAAGGCGTTCACTTTGTTTGGCTATTAGGTCTCACTCTTAACTTATTTTACTTCACTGCCTTCCCTTGCCACAGTTTGTACGTATTCACGTGTGCCTCTGCAATTGAATTACACATTTTGTAATTTATTTATTTTTTACTTAAATCAAATGCATTTACATCGGTCACCGTTCAGTGTTTAAGCTGTGTAGTTATCATTTTCTTTTAAATAAAGCCAAACGTTTAGAGAAAAAAAAGCTTTTATAAAAGATTTTATAATTATTTCTGCTTTTTTTTTTCAACTTCGTTAAAAGGCACGCGGATAAGTTTTGTGCTCACCAAAGGAAGAGGAAAAGCGGTGGGCGGGCTTTAACCAGCAGAGCTCTTCCATGATTGGTCCTTTTGACTGTGGCTGTTGTATGTCACTACCGGTGTTGTTCTTTTTTCTGCATTTGTACTGCACGCATTTGTGTGAAGAAAGCAGATTCTACTTTGCTACTTGTTACCGCTGATTCTCTCACAGATCTGACTTGATGGCCAAGAGACGCGCTGAAGAAACTGTGCTACTCGACTCTCCCAGTAAGAGAAGATACTTCCCTCCGATTTACAGTATTGACATGCAGCTGGAGAGCATGGCTTCAGTGGGAGGCGTGAGTTCCCCATCTCTACTGACTTTATTGGGGAGTCGCTGCAGAAAAAGGCCTCTTTATTTCGACAACGAAGAAGTATATTCTCGTCCAAAGATTTCATCCTTGGACTCTGGAAAGCATGCAAAGAATGTTTTGAAGACTCCATCTTCTGGAAGTTTCCAGGACGGCCGCAGGTCCTGCGCACTTTCAAAAAATAAGCGACCGCGAGAGGACAACGTCGGTTCAGACACCGTTACGGCAACAGATAAAGTAGGTCAACATGGTTTGATTTAGCAGTATTTAGCCGATAGACGTTAATCTCTTGAAAGCAAATGATTCTGTAATGAGAGTAAACTGCCACTAGATGTCGTCATTTGCTCACATTTTTAATATCCCACAAGACTTGAATTTGAATGTGACGTTGTAATTTCATGACGGCTGCATCTCTGTAAATTAGCATAATATATAAAAAAAATCTTGTTAAAAAGATAAACTAGGACATCATACAAAATTCATTACACCCAGATACATTTAAAGTATTTTCTCTTGATTTTGATAAAACCCAACGCTCAGTTTCTCAAAATAAATAAAATGCATTACAGTAAAAGACCAATAGATGTTTTTTTTTTAATACGGAAGTGTTATTTTGTGTTTTCACAATAATGGGGAAAACTGACAACAGTTTTCCAGCAGACAGTAATACTCATTGATAAAATATGTTAGCAATGAGTGTGTCTGTTTACATATTAGTGCTGTATTTATGTGTATTAATAGAACATTGACAGTGCCTGATTGCATCTATTCCAGTCTGCATTGATGCAGTAAATCATTCAAAAGGAGGCCCAAAACAAGCACTAAGTGCATGTAATGTTGGTCTTTTGTGCTGTGGTCATTTCCTAATAAATGACTTTACATCATTAAGTTTTTACTGTAACGCTATCGGCAAATTTACCTGAATAAACATTCGAAATTCATCACTCTTTGTGATGAATCTGCAAGTTTCACTTTTGAATTAAATTAGCAAGAGAAATTAACTTTGATAATTTTCAAGATCAGTCTGTTCAAGTTTTCTTGCATCTTTGCTTTTACAAAATGGTACTATCAAGGTTTGTCTAGATGCTCACTTGCCTTTTCTCTTTCTTTCAGACAGCTGATGAAGATGGTACTTATAACTCTTTTCAGTACTGGAGGGTCCCCTTACCTGAACTTGACCTTTCACTGCTAGAAGAGCCTAGTGACCATTACCCCAAAAAAGACAAGTCAAAAGCGAATGACACAACTGCAGATGCAATGGAGACCTGAAGATGATGAACACTTGATGTGTTTTATTACCTGAGCAAACTGATCCTGTTAATCCTATAGATATGTCAGATAATAGAGTTAAAGTGGATGTCTTGCTGTAGGATTTCAGTGACTTTCAGATGTTTTGTGAAGGAGCTCTTGGTCATCCTGAAGCTTTATGTTCAATGGGTTTTGTAAGAGCAAGGTGAGGCTGTTCTTCATTTACACCTCTGCCCTTTTTTTCTGCTACATCTGCCAATTTGCAGCAGAGTCTGTAAAGTAGTAAGTTCGTCAAATGCGAAAAGGAGCTGATTATCATTCAGTACTTCATATCTACCATACATCAACTCACGCAGCAGAAGAAATGTTTTGTACCGAGTCCGACTTTGACAACTGATAAGTTTAAGTCATTTTCCAGAATGTGCTTGCAGGGTTCTGTGCAGTCTGGAGGATGATGTCACTTGTTTTTAGTATTCTTTAGCTTTAAATACATATATTTAGTCTCACTTTTATTCCTTCTTCCTTTTGTCCTTCCTTTTAGACGGGTTCTTTTTTCTAAATACCAGTCACAACAGAAATATCTGCCATAAAGTCATTGTGAAATTTTGTGCTTATGCTTAGTAACTATCAGAAAACAGATTGCGAACTCTGGAAAGATGTACAATTAAGACATGAACAAGAACCCATGTGATTGTAGTCTGCTGCAAGGAAAATGTGGATCTTGTCCCCAAATAAACATCTCTCAGCAGAGGTCGCTCTGAGTCACTTTGGTTGGATCAAGGAGCAGAATCTGTTTTATTTTATAAACCAACTGGTCCATATGGACGTGATGGTAACAATGTCTTCAGTAAAATTTCATATGAGATTTTAACAATTTTTTATCTTCTGGATTTATTAAGAAAAAAAGAAAAGATGTATACATACATGTAAACAAACAGGTTTGCTTAGTTGAGGTTTAAAAAAAAAGTTCTTGCAGGTTGGGATTATTAAAGCCTAATAAAGCGCTTGACTGGCACTGTGCAGCATACAGTAAACCTACATTACGCCTCACCAACTTGTTGCTTCACAATGATTACCCTACTACTTGCAAAATAAAGTTGTAGGGTGTTTAGAAGTATTTCTGGTTCTGAAATGTCAGGACTCATCACGCTTGTTAAGGAATTGCTGCAGTTCAGTTGGTAAACTGCGACCTGTTTAGCAAGCTTTTTTAAATAAGCTTCAAGATGATTCTGTAGATTTTAGTTTTGGATATTTCTGCTATTAATATGATACAAAGAAGCAATCTTGTTTTTACCCAGTTATCACATTGAGAGAATCTAAATGACTCGCAGCTAAAACGTTCATTGTTAAAGGTTCAGTATTGTATATTTTCCAGGCATGTAGAGCAATTTTGTAGCACAATCAAGTGACTATCTCACCTTTAGTCGTTACAAAAATGCTGTATATATCAAATATGATATATACAGCATACTTATATTTGATATAAATTAGCAAGAGAAATTAACTGATAATTTTTGAGATTATCCTTTAAAGCCTTGAAATTGGGCCTCTGTTTCTTTAAAAACTCCTGCTCTTTCTGACACCCCTTCTTCTTAGGACGTCTTCACAACAGCTCCTGTATTAATCCCTTAAAACTTTTCCAGCAAGTAGCTTGTGTGATGAGCTCAGCAGAGTTTCACCAGGTGTTTGCTAATTGCTGCTGGCTAGTCTGTAGGAGGTGGGAGAGCTGTTCTATTAGGCAGAAGCTCTGAAATTTGGAGACTGCAGCTCAGAGGAAGAGCTCCATCCTCGAAGTTGGTGCAACATGCATGAAAGAATCAAAGCAGCACTCCAAGTATGTTTTCGATGAGGGAATAATATTATGACATGATGTTAAGCTTCTAAAAGAAATCAATTTAACATAATACTGCACCTTTAACACCGTGACTTAGGAACTTGTGTATAAATCAGGACTGTTTGTTTATTGCTATTTGATAATCAGGTTTTTTTGTTTTTGTTTTTCTTGTAAATAAAATAATTTTCAGTGCCCAAGTGACTATTTTTCTGTGACTGTTCCTGTCAGGGACAGTTCAAGGGATAACAGAAAATGGAGTTGAGTTTTTTTTTTTTTCTTCCCTGCACCTGAACAATCGAGTAACATGTTTGTTGGCGTAGAGCTGTCCTTCTTTGCCCCTGCTGCTGCTGTGAAGCATGTTTGCGGTTTGAAGGGGAGGACCGCGGCTCTGCTCCGGAGGTCGAACAGTCCTGGTTGTGTTGGAAAGAGGAGGAGATCATGAGTTCCTCAAGGCTTCTTGGAAAAGAAGTGCCCTTTGGACCAGCGGCTGATAAAAGCCCAAACGACAGAGTAATGATGAAGAGGTGGGATTTGAAAGAAGTTCTCCGTTAGACTTAAAACATTTTATGTAGGTTTTACCCGCAGAGCACAGCCATGGTAAGTTATGCAAGAGGAAGATAATCATGTAAATCACCCGAAGAGATTCTGTTTTCTGCAACCGGTGTTCTGACCGGAGTCCAGAACCGGTTCCATACGGTTCCATACTATATTAGCTGTGTTAGCTCTGAGCTAACGACCGCAGCTATTAGCTGACAAGTTAATTTAGTTTAACTTGGCAGCGAAAACATGGTAAAGTGAGATGCGAAGTGCAATTGTTTAGGGAACTTCGAAAAGCCAGAATCTGTCTGCTGGACTTTGTGTTTAATTTTCTCTTTAAGCATTTCTTGTAACATGTACTTTAGGTGCGGAGGTAAGCTTTAGGGTAAAGTTTTTCAATTAACGACGTACAGACGCGTAATATTGCGCATGTGCATAACGCTAGACGGCAAAACTCTTCTACTTGCCATGACTTGTTGTTTTGTAAAATTTAAGTGTAAAAAAAACAAACAAAAAAAAACAAACAAGAAATTTGAATACATAGAGTGTAAAATATATATATTTGACAAAATCCAGGCTGGGAAGTTTTGTTTACATTTTGTAAACATACTAAGGTAATTTCTTAATGCCATTAACAAGTTGCACTATGGTTTTATAAACTTTATGATTTCAAAGCTGCACGATTTATGAGATTCCAAGAAAAGACACAATATGACCCAACTTTCCACTGAATCTATAGAAAATATATTGATAGTAGGACACCTTCCAGGGACAACATTCAACATGTTGCTGCACATTCCCTTTACAGCTTGTAGTATGATTAAAAATAACATCCTCAATTTCAAAGTAATGTGCAGTTGTAAAGTAGGATCTTTTTTAAACTACAAATTGTTATAAATATGTGCATATTTAAAAGAAACAGAAAAAAATGAACAAACATTTCTAGGCTCTTAAGCATGACTTATTAACCCACAAGTATAAACTTTAGATTTGTGGTTGGAACCTTTTAAAATATATTAAATTAGGGTTAAAAAAAAAGATTATTTATACTCTTCACCTTCACTCTAATGTATAACTTTCTCCACAGAGTTTTTGTTAACCTCCAGTAAGAATAAACATTAAACCCAAATCAAAACTGCATATATGATGACAATCAGTTGCTTACAAATACTATCAAAATGCATTAATTAAAGAAAAAAAAATTAAACAGTAGTAGTAGTAGTAGCAGTAATATTCCTTATATTTAGACTCGGCTTCTATTTCTGTTTCTTTTGTTTTGGGACTATAGTGATTCTTTTCGAACATCCGCTGATTTAATACAAAATCTCTAGCAGAGTAAATGTATCAGATAAGCACCTGAATTCTTTCCACTAAACTAAAAGCTAACATTTTCCAGTCCTTTAACCTAGAAACTATTTTGGATACCATAGCAAGTTTAGTCATGTGAAGTAATGTTACAGGAAGTGATAAACTGCTATAGTTCATGCAGTGTTTGGTACAGATAGTTGAGAAATTTTTTAGACAGTCTCCTTAAGTTATATAGCAATATAGTGTTTTTATGTTGTCACCAATGAGCATAACTTAAAATTGATACAACTTCTTGCTCTAAATAACTTAGTAATTCAGTGAATTTGGTTTTCGCTCTCTTGTGGTGTTCTGAGGCTGCAGCGCTTGTATTAAGGTTTTTTTTATCTATTGGAAAATCTCTTTTCTCTGAAACCCAACTACGCTTCAGGGCCTTTGCTAAGTGTTCACACAGTGAGACTCTGTTTTGGGTGGGAGTAAGCCAGCTCCGCAGCCATGTGGCCTAATCTCAGGAAGGGGATATTTGTATGTTTCCCATGAACACAGCTCTGCTTCTTGCTGCTATTGTTGAATCTGTTGGAGAAACTGAGTCGAGCTAGGTGGGGGTTGTCGCTCACTTTTCTGTGGTGTTTCACTGTCGGTGGGAGAGAAGTCTGATGGTGAAGGACTTGAAGCTTGAGTTCAGCCGTAGACGGCTGCTTTTGTTTGACTATAATGAACTTCACTGAAAAGGTTTTTGTTCCCTGAAGGAAGTCGTTTGTTTTTCCCCCAGAATAAATTAATCAGCAAAGATGAGAATACCGTGACAATCTGCTTGACCTTTTTTGTCGTTTATATTATCTCAACTGTATATTTTCCTATTTCAGACGGGAAAATCTTGGATTGAGGAGAGCTTCTTCAGAAGGGAGTGTGTGAAGTTCATCCCTTCCTCTTGGGACCAACACAGGTAAACTGTGAACTGGCTGCATGGATGGCTTTTATGATTCCTAGAAGAATGTATGTAGTATAACATTAACGTTGGTGGGTGGAAATAAACGTCATCCTGAGAGCAGAACCACTTGGCAGCCATTTCTTTTTTTTTTCCAGGAACCACGTTGATTATTTCATAATGTGTTATTTCCTGTTTCTTTCAGATGCATTCCAATATGCCAAGTGTGCCAAAGCCTGATCAGGTATTACTTACAAATTTTTAGTTAATATTTTACTGTGCATCACCACCTGGCTGCCCACGAGGCATTGGCATTCTTGTTTGATTGTCGCATAGTTTTCACTGCCCTCTGTTTATTTGTACTGTTCCTGTGTTTGCTGTATTTGCACTGCTCCCACATTGTTTTCCATTTCACTGATGCACTATTTTCAAAATGCCCCAAACTGCAGTTAGTCAATGAGTTAACGACTGTTCAGATGATGTGGAAAAAACTGAGAGAAGGCATGCGTTTAAAAATAAATTGTGTTTGGCAACATTATAAACACAATGAAACAGGAATATGTAGTCTCAAGGACCAGGGGAGGTGAAGAGGAAGGGTGGGAGACAGGAAAGGGGGAGTACTTGTTGCAGTCTGGCTTAGTCAGCTGGGGGTTTTAAAATGTATGCCAACGATTTACTTTGCTTTAGCAACATATTGTTACACGCTTACGCTTCAGTATTCGTCTTTCTGACACTTTTTTTTTTTTTTACACAAAAGCATACAAAGAAAACAGACAAATAAAAAATTGGTTGTGGACAGAAATGTGTAAAAAAATCTTTGCAGTAATGAAGATTTCTGCAGATACCACTTAGAAAATAAGGTGTGATTTTATTCTTTACAGCACTTATTCAGTTCATAACTGTACCAAAATCACTAAGGACGCAAAGGAACATTTTGAGCAGCAGCCTATCTAAGATAAATATTATAAGAAAACCTTACTTTCAATATGAACTCCCAAAAACATCACATATTATAACTTACATTTACAGTGCTCTTTCCTTGTGTAGGAGCGCAGTTATGCTACTAACTAGTATTTAAAGGGATAAACTCTTTCTGTCATATTTCATCATCGTGACTGTATTAGTGACGATGATAAAATATTAGTGTTAGTTAAGTACTAGTTAACTCTCATGACATTTGACCCTGGATCAAGGCAATAACTAAGTGACCTACTGCTGGCAGGGAGCTTTTATTTGAGTCCCCGCAAATAAAACCTGAGAAAATCGGTTATAAACGACCAAATCCATGAAGGGGTTAATGACTGAATCTGCAACAGACTGGCTGCAAAAACCCCCAATTTGTTTCTGTGGTCTAGTCAAAGTCCAGATCCTTAGTGTGATTTAAATTCTGTGGAGAGTCAGGGCAATGTTGTATGAAGGACTGGGCCTCATCTCCTCAACACTATTATGAAAAACTGCTAACGTCAATCAGAAAAAGGTTACAATGAGTCACTGAAGCCACTTTCAGTCATTAAAGGTCATTTGAAACCATTGAATCGTGGGTCTAATTGGGTGCTGATCGTCATGCCTCATCAATGTTTTGCACTTTCAGTTTTGGCCTTTTTCTTACTTGACTTACTGATTCAGTTACATCACAGAGCTGCCATGACTGGTTTCTCCTGTAAATGACTCATATCAAACGTTGGGAATAACGAACGAAAGAAATTTCGCTTATGAAATGTGACTAGTATTTGACTAGTAGATAAAATCTACGTTTAAGAGGACGCTCCTTTATGGGGGAAATAAACTCTTTTTTATTTTTTATAGGTCATCTTGTCTGTATGCGAATCAGAACCATAATAGAAATAGAGCAATATAAAAATCTACTGAGGAAATATTTAAATGATTTAATGTCCATCCATCCATCCATTATCTAAACATGCATCGCCAGAATGATTGGTGCCTATCTCCACCGATAGGCACCAATCATCCTGGACAGTCCAGTTGCCAGTCCATTGCAGATAATTACATGTATTTGTGAGATTTGAGCATTTTGGTGTCATTTAGCTCCACAATTCATCAGAGCGCACAGACTTCCTAAAGTAAATCATAAAACTGGAATGTCTAAGGTGATGGTGGATCTATTTATCAGGAAAGCAGCTGCTCAGCTGAGATTTTGTAATGTAAAACAGATGTTTCTCAAACAGACTTTGTCAGATCTAATGATGAAGTGCTCTGACATATCCCATAATTTGTTTTCATTGATTAGATGTTGCTGTGGCCGCTTGATGGGGGAGCACTCTTGGCAGGAGTCTTGTCCTCCCATTTCCCTCTGTCCCAGTCCAGAACAGGGCATGGAGGAGTGGTCCATGGAGGCTCACACAAAGGCCAGTTCTACCAACGCCTATGGGATCATAGATTTTCAAGACACTGCCACGCGGGTCTGTCGCGCCAAGGTTTGTATATCCATTAACTGTGGTTTTCTTTGCCAGCATTTACTAAATTTACACTACAATGTTAAAAAAAATTATGATTAATCTTCCTTTTACAAAAAATAGCTTTAACTATAAAAGTAGATGCTTTCTCTAGTCTGAGTGAGATGGAAGTGCAGATGTTGCTGGTTGTGTAAACTTTGGTTTGCTATGATGGAAGCAGATTTAAGGTGTTTTGTGGCGGCAAAGATGCTATCTGCTGTAGTGACAAAACAACTTTGCGAGCAGCAGTTGGAAAACGCAGCAAGCTCTTGAGCAGTGCCATGTTCTTCCAGTATGTTCGTGTGGCTGTGGACTCCAAGCCAGAGGCGCTGCTCCAGCTGATGCTGAGGGAATGGCAGATGGAGCGACCGAAACTACTGCTGACGGTCCACGGAGGGTCAGAAAATTTTATTCTGCCCCCAAAGGTGAACCAGGCCTTCAGTAAGGGGCTCATCACGGCTGCCATAAGCACAGGGGCGTGGATTTTCACTGATGGGATCAATACAGGTCAGTACAGGAATCGATTTTCTCTAAGACAATGATGCAAATACCTGTAGGGCCTTGGAGAAGCAGTTATAACCCTTTAACTTTTTCACATTTTGTGATTTTATAGCCATAATCCTCAATGTGTTTCATCGTTTTATCAGTCAGTCCCTTAATTAGTCCTTTTAGAACCACTTTTCTTTGCAACTATAACTTCCAGTATTTAGGTAATGCATTCATGGGATCGTCTCCACCAGCTTTTGTGCACCTTGAGTCTGAAACATTGAACTTTTACGAGGAAATAAATCGAAGGTAACAAGGAATATGTGCACCCAATATTAATTCATATTTATTTATTAAAAAGGCATGTTGTGATAGTGCAAATATGATTTTTGATATTTTATTAATTGGACAAAAGGCACAGCACACGTTTCAGAAATGAAGTCTTATAAAAGCTCTGAAAATCTTGCATTATTTTCATTTAGAAAAGTTTAAAGAAAAATGAGTATTTTTGCATGGCACTGCATTTCCAGGTGTGTCTAAGTATGTGGGTGAGGCAGTGAAGTTATTTGGAGGCCACGACTTGAGGAAGAGAAACACGATTGGCATCACATCGTGGGGAATGATCGACAACAACTTGGACCTCATCGGCAGAGACGTTAGTACTAAATCTGTTTCCTTCCTTCTAGCGTAACGCTGAACATGTTTTACTCAGCAAGATGGTTGTCCTTTTTGTGAGATGTTAACTCAACACCTGCTCAGGTATTCAGACCCTACCAGCCACTGGGCAACCCTTTAAGCAAGAGGATCTGCCTTAATGGTTTCCACTCCCACTTTCTGTTGGTGGATGACGGGACGCTGGGGAAACCTGGTTGTCAGCAGGGCCTCAGGAGAAAACTGGAGAAACAAATCCAGCTACTGAAGATTCATCCTCGTAAGTTCATGTCATTGCCTTGTTGAATATGTACGATGGGACATCGTCTTTCTGGCAAAACATATAGCAGCACATTTTTGTCGGTGTTAATTTAATTAATTTCAGGCTGTATCTATCTTCGCTCATCCTTTCGAAGTTCAGTGGATTGACTCGGTTCTTATCATGACTGTTTATTGCCCCTTCTCACAGGACTGAACCAGGGAGTGCCTGTGCTGTGTGTGGTGGTGGAAGGAAGCGCCGCCATTGTATCAACAGTTCTGGATTATGTTAGCAGTGCGCCCCCTGTGCCAGTGTTTGTGTTTGAGGGGTCGGGCAAGGCTGCAGACCTCTTCGCCTTCTTACACAAGCAGACTGCTAATGATAGGTGTGTAGGTAATGTTTATTTTAAGTGGGAAGCCATGTAGCTGTACTAGCTTGTGTAAAGTTAAACCAGTTATTAGGTGCATCGATCAAACTTTTACCAGCTGATAATGGCTTTGGACAATGCTAATTTTCTTTCAAAGAACGTTAAGACATACAAACTCTTTTTAGTTTTTATTCTATGATGCTGTTTGTTTTCTGCTGTT